AATTACATTTAAAAAAATTCAAAAATAAATAATAAATAAAATAAAATTGAAATAAAAAGCTAATAAAAACTATAGACATGCTTTTAAAAGTCTAATAAAAATGCCAAAAATACACAAAAAAATAAATGAAAATGGAAACTATATTTAAAAAATAAAATAAAAATAAACAGAATATTATTTTTAAGTAAAAGTGTCAAATTAAATACATTTATCCACATTTATTTAAAGGGCAAAACATTAGAAGACTCTATTATGGTGTGTTGGACACTTTATATGGTAATACTGTAGTTTCTGGACATGTATGATGGTGCTCTTTGAAGTAAATACTGTGGTACATAAATATGGTATCATAATATATCATGCTGTATCATAGTAAATGTCAAAATACTGTGGGATTACCATCACTGTACCATACTACTTTTTGTGAGTGTAAGTGGCATTTCAGGTCAATAATTTAGTATATTTTGGTTCAGCTGATAAAAAAGGTTTACAAATTATATAGAATACATTAACTAATAAATGTAAAACAAAAATGCATAAATGTAAGAAGTGAATAGATGGATAGGTTTTGTATATATTGTTCAGGTGACACATAAAGATCTTACAAAATAGACTTAATGTAAATTATTTATAAATGTAAAAAAAAAAAAAAAATGTTTTTTTTTTTTTGGTAGAAGCAGCAGAAAAACAGTCAAATTCCTATCTTACCTTGCTCTGATTGATCCAATACAGGTAAAATCCCTTCGGATCCATCTTCATGGTGACCGGTGTGGTTTTCTTGGAGTCCTGTCAAGAGTTTTTAATCATTAAACCACTAAATATCTCTCAACATGATACAAATTAAGAATATAAACATCAGAAATGGACCAGAAACGTAAATCTAACTGGTCAAAGAGGCCTGTTTTCATTAAACACTGACAAATATTACCTCCAAAAATCAGTAATGTCCCATGATAATTATGTATTTTTATAATTATCAGTATCAGGACCAAAAGCACCTGTCGTACAGTCAAATATGAATCCATATCGAATCTCGTGTGTTCATATGAGTCCTAATTCTGATCCCGTCCACTTACTTCTTTCCATTTTGTGAACCTGTCTCCCTTCACCAGGTATTCTTTGACATCAGGCTCCTGAAGCGCGTAGCGGTTTCGATTCATTTTGGACGGATCACCACAGTAATGTGGTCTAAAGCTCCAGTCCTGAACTCATTGTCCCCAGTGAGAATGAAGGAGTTTGGGCTAAAAACTCGGCTAAAATGAGCCGGCAGGACGTCCAGCCTTCAATATGCATTGCAAATGAGCATCAAGAGCGGCCCGGACCCACCCTGCTCAGGTTTACACCACCTATCTGTGCTAGCATGCCAAAAACCAAACTATAGAGCAGCATAGGACACAAGAATCCAGAACAGAATGTATATATTTAGGCCTGAATTTAAAATGTATGTATATGAATAATTTCATATAAATTTCCATGCATTTGGATTACACACGTTTAACAAAACAAACTAAGAAATGTGTGATGCATATTTGTCAGTCATACATAAATGAAACAGGTCAGATTTCACGTTATAATTTATTATGAACTATTTACACCTATTTGTTTTTATTTAAATAATCAGCATAAATCAAATTACATTAAAATACAATAATGTGTTCAGTTAAAAAGTATGAACTTAATTAAAATATGGAATAAGCTATATTCAGTCAGTTAGATTGAAACAACTTGGATTTATTGATGATAAATATATAAATCTGGTTGTTGTGTGTTTAAAACACATTCCATTTATTACAGAAATCTGACCCGTTTCATATGACTGACAAATATGCATCATATTTATATGTTATTCAAATACATAAATATTAAATTAAGGCATAAATATTAAGTGAGCTAATAATGTTCTAACAATATTTTTGGTAACGTTACAATCAGGTTATGAAATTATTTCTCAAACTTGTTCAAACATTTGTCTTGGTTATGTGAATATTAAAGCAACATTCCATTTTTTTTAAATTTCTAAACATTATAGGAATGTTGCTTTTTAATGTTCTCTGAACATTTTGAAATTTAAAGAATGTGTAAATAATGTTTCTGTGGTAACATTTTGAGAAGTCTGAGCGAACGTTTACTGGAATGTTTGTTCATAACTTTGCCAAAATGTTCTGAAAATGCATATGAATGATTATTAATTGGCAAGTATAATGACAAGGAGCCAGTTTCACCCGAGTGAACAAGGTTTGACATTATTAATGATGTAAGATTAGAATATGTAAATATTAGCATGGCTCTCGCTGACGGGTTTGACACACAGATTGACATTAAATAGATTCATTACTATATGCATTCATAAAAACAAAGTGGAAATTGGAGTTCATTCAGCTGCTCAGTTTGAGTAAAATCATGAATCTGTTCTAGAATGAGCTGGACTGTGGTTCAGAGCAATGTTCATATCGTTTGGCTAATAGTCAAATATGAGCTGACGCATGGAAATCATCACGGAGTACATTAACATGAGGCTGTTCCCTAAACGACACACATTCACTACACGCTTCACTTAACAATAATCAGAAGACATCAGAAGAATCAGGTACACATGGCATGTTCATTAATATTATACTTTTATGTGGACGATGTTAGAGACAGTCTGAACTGATAGAACATTAAATGTCTCACAGAAACAAAGTCACACATATACACATTTATCTAGCCAAATATGTGTTAAAATAAAGCTTTATTTTAAATAAAATTTAATAAAAATAGTTATTTTTTAAAATGATTAATTTTGTATTTTTATGTATATAATTATACACTATATGTGTGTGTGTGTGTGTGTGTGTGTGTGTGTGTGTGTGTATCCACCCCAATCTTAATCCTAAAAGACAAAAAAATACAAATACAAAATACAAGTTTACTAAAGTTCATACTTTTTTCAAAATTGTTATTATATTTTGTTATTTACATAACATTATTCTTTTTTATTATATGTATTTTAGTATTTATTTATGCCATTTATATATATATAAATATAAATACACTTTATATTACACACACACATGACCTACATCAACAACAGAAAAGTTGACTAAAATAATAATAAAATCAATAAAGGAATCATTTCTATTTTGTGGCAGTAAGCTTTAGCTACATAAATACAAACACAGATTTATAAAATAAAGCTCACTGGCAAAATGTTAACTAATTACTGATAATCATAAATACTGTAATACTATGTTTGGTTTGGTATTAGAAACATGCTGGGAGTGTATTCCAGTCTGACCTCTGTCTCACAGCGGCTCAGTGAGGTGAACCAGACAGCAGTGATTGGCTCTTACCGGCCAGCCAATCAGAGCAGGACATCATGGTGCAGGATTCCAAACTCTAAATCTGATTGGCTCCTGCAGCAGCAGCAGCAGCACTTCCAGGTGATGTGGTGTCAATCAGGTCCTGTGGCATCAGAGGACAGGCAGGCGAACATCCAGCAGCCCCTGCAGGAGAATCATCTGTTCGAATGTCACAATTAACCACTTAATTACTGATGGGAGGGGTCGCGGTGTTAAAGGGGTCAATACGGCCGACTATTATCAGTAACAAATGATTCTGCAGTGAAGATGCCTAAGGGAAATGCATCTTTATGCAACTTCACGTTCGAGTAAACAAACATTTGCATTCACTGCAAATGTTAAATCATTTTGCTTTTATCCAAAAATGAGGGAAACAAATTATTAATCATAGAACAAAACATACAGTCAGAATGCATAATGTAGGAGATCATTTATTTGAACAGATCTATAAATTATGTAAATAAAAATGGCATCAGAAGCCTCCCTTACTTCATATCAAATATTCATTGCGCATTTAGAAATGATTCATTATTTATCAAAAGCGCTAGTGGAAGGATGAGACAGTAATGATGTGGATATCATAAATGTTATAAACATACTTTCTTATTTGAATGAATTAAAACAATAGATATTAGACTTATATTATTAACATATATTTAAAATAATATCATTCTGCATGTTATTTTCAATAAAATGATATGATTTTTAAGGTATTTGGGCAGTGGGATATTGTTTGATTGACAGATCACATTTGTCCATCAGGTGTTGAGTTCTGATGGATTCATCCAAAGCAAGATCTGGTAATCTATAATAAAGGTATTTAACAAACAATATGCGTCATACTGTCTAGCAGATCATTAATTGATGTACATTCAAATAGGAATATCATTAATGACACTTTGATTTACATATTTACAGTTAATGGTTTATCAGATGGTCTTATCCAAAGTTTATTTATAATGTATTTATTTAATAATAATATTATTATCATTTATCAATATTAAATGTAGGTCTAATTAATTCAATAAAAACATTATAAATTCAAGTTGATATGATTTTTTTTTTAAACAGTTAACGGAGATGCAGTGTTATCACTGAGATACCATTATAGTTTGTATATTAATATTTTGAATCAATAATCAATTTTAATTTTAGTTAAATTTTAATCATTTTGCCGTGTGGTTTTGTCATTTTTAGTAGTTTTTGCTTTTTAAATATATTTACTATTTTTGATTTCAGTTTTAGTTATTTTAGTGCAATAAGTTAAAATGATAAATGTTTTTCTTACATTTTATTTAATTGAAGTTCATGTTAATTTTAGTGAAGTAACGAAAATGCTTTTAATTTTTGTTTCAGTTTTACTTTTTCATTAATTGTATATATTCGATTCATAAAATACGTTCTTATATCTGAATGTACATCATACAGAACAGCATTATATAATATTTTTCAAATGCATTTTGATGAAAGTCACCATAAAGTGTTACCAGACCTTGAGTGAACTGATGAGCATCACGATGCTGGTGTGTTTTCTCTCTTCATTCTCCGCTGCTCCTTTAAGAGCCTCCTCCTCCTCCTCTCCTGTATTTTTAGCTGACGAAGCCTCTTCTTCAGTTGAATAACACACACACACACACACACACACACAAACGCAGATGTGTGTACAGTATGATGATCCGTCTCATCATTCTCAACCCTCTCCAATCCATCCCGTGATATTTGGATCAGAAACATCACAGCCCTCTGGGGGGAAAAAGCTGCGCTGGATGCTGGAAAACACCAGAAGCATCAGCAGCAGCACACCGAGCCGAAGCAAGATCCTGACGGATTTCTGAGACAGCTCAAGCGCCATGGATGAACGCGACACGATTTAACCTGCGCGTAAAAGAGCCTCAACATCCCTCAAAACGGACGGAGTCGTGGAGCATCGAGGGAAAACCCGTGCCAATCGGGACCGAGACTTCATGCCCAACATGGAGAGGGGCAAACCAGCCACCTACACAGGCGACAAGAAGGCAAAGATGGCTGCAAAGACCAACAAGAAGTGGGTAAGACTGGCCACCGTCTTCGCCTATGTTTTATCCGTGTCTCTAGCCGCGATCATCCTGGCCATCTACTACAGCCTCATATGGTCTCCAAACAAGTCAGCTCCAAACACCCCCACCACCACCACCACCGCGATCGGCAACGGGACGGAAAGCAACAGCACGCAGGCGACTCCGATCCACATCAACGCCACCGGCACCAACGCGTCTCCGGAGCAGACGGCCGCGTCCCTCTCCAAAAGCGCGCACTCCCAACCCGCGGATCTCTACACATACATGCCCAGCGACATCTCAGACAGCCAGACTGCAGCGAAAACACAGTCCTCCAGGAGAGAGCAGACTGGAGACGCGCAGCTGGAGACGCGCTGGAACGGGGACGACTCTAGACAAACTCACTCAAATAAGCGGCACAGAAAGACCTAAGACCTAAGTTTGAGACTTGGAAACGTTGCTGCTCGTTGGAAACGTTCACAGGCCGAGACGAGGCTGTACACCGACGCATAGCCTATATAGCAAAGGCTCTGATAGTGTTTAACCCTTCATATATAACCTGTTGTGTTTCGCCTTAATACTCAGCATCTCCTTGCAGTTGATATTTTGGGAGCGTATCATCCGAAGCGACTGTTAATGCCTTGATTCGAGGGGGTGAGGACAAGCTTTTAAAATAACAACTCTAAAAGCTTGCATGAATTTCAACTAAACCTGTTAACCAATTTAATCAGGATTCTTATGTTAGAGGAACCTGTGTCGATGCTCAGGTATGTGCAAATATCCATGTAAATGTATTGTTTAGTAATGTACATACAAGCTCTGGAGACTTTTAGCATCACTAGATCATTTTTATAACAAATGATGTACCATAGGTGTAGAATACATCACCGTAATGGTAAATAAACAACATACAACTACACACACTCATTTCCATTCATTGCACAAGTTGGTTAAAGAGAAAGATGCTCTTGTGTTATATAAAACAATCTGGGCGGCACATCAATCACTTTGACTAGATTAAAAACAAACTGGCAAGGTAACGAAATTACAGGTTAGTTAAGGTGAGCGCACTGTGTTTAATCCTGCATTAACCCAAAATCAGCGCAAGATTGGGTTAATGCTGACTTTTGTGCAAAACACGACTGGCACTTCCGTTAATTGGTCAGAATAGGGTCATTTTTCAGTCATTAACAGCTCTTTGAGCTTCACAGCAACACATTTTCACTCTCTTCTGTGGCTTCTGGCCTCATAATTGTGACCCTCATCCGTCTTATTTGTCATCGGTCTCTAACTGTTTGCTAGTGAGTCACATCTAGTGATCCATGCATGTTTAGTAGTGCTTCTTTCTCTCTCTGTACAGTATGAAGGCTTATCGATTGACTTCTGAAGTCAAAAGCAGGAATTACACAATCCTGCTCTATTTTCAGCGGCGGCTCTTTGACCTGTTACAGCACAGGCCGGAAAATATCTGGGAGAAATTTGTGCAACTCGACCACAGAGATACAAAACAGCGTTTGTACTACACATTTATGGTAAACACCTGTGCAAAAATGGCCATTTAATTCGAACGTGCAATGCAGATGCTAAGATGTTTTGAATAGTTTTTTTAGTGAGTTGATATGCAGTTGCATATTCACCCAAATGTCAAAAATCCACCTTCAACACTAAGATAAGGAGTTAAGCGCTGAAAGAGTTCGTTCAAATCACCCACCACTAAATCTGTTGATGCTGTGGTGCAACTGTATACTTTGACCGCACTTGTACTATTAAGCAGCCACTTCCTGTAAACAAGATGTTTTGGACATGTTTTTAGATTTGTCCTGTGATTGAAGACGATTGATTCAGCAGCTGTGGGTACAAATCAATGATAAAAACGTCAAGTGCACAAAACCCCCTTGAGAATCAATTATTAGAGGTGTATACCGAGTCAGTCCTCACTAGTACTAGTGCTGATAGTCATGTGATCAAACCTCCAGCACTAAGTAGTGAAGTTGAATGTGTGCGACAAAAATCCAACTTGAGCCACATACAGAGACCAGATGATATAATTTTCACTCGAGAACACCCTGCCCTAATTTAGCATCATTGGCAGTGTATTTTGCAAAGACAAAATGAATATTTCTTGTACATCTGATTTGCAAGGCTTTAACTGGATTGAATTTGATTTCAAAAGAGCATCTTATTTAAAAGGATATATATAAATCATATGCATATGCCGTACTGGGTATATTACTTACATATCGTAGTCCGTTACTGATTACAGATTACGGATTACTCATTTTTGGTTATGTATTCTGAGTACTTTTTTAGATTACTTATAGATTAGTTTTTACCTAACTCGTTTTAAATTTACCATTCATAATCAATAATACATTTCATAATGATTTGTTTTTATAGTGTTTTCCCCCCAAATTCAGAAGCATGGATCGCTAATTTATTTACATGACATTTACAATGCCATTCTATATTGTGAATATAGTCAAAGCTAAATGGTACGACACAGTAAGATTTTTAGAAAGGAAACTTTAAAAGAGAAAAAAAGAAGAATTATGGAGAAACAGTAAATTATGAATAATTCGCTGCCATTGTGTGAATAATATGTAATCAAGCAATCCATAAAAATAAATGTAATCTGATTATGAGCACTTTAAAATGAAATATAATCTAATTACAAGTACTTACTTTTTGGAATCTGGGTAGTAACTGATTACATGTATTCTGTATTATGTACTTGTAATTAGATTACATTTTCAGATTACAGTTACTTTTTCTATGGATTACATGATTACATCTTATTTGTACATTATTTGACCTAAAATATTTACTTGAAGTCCCCCTGAGATTTTTGTTAATTTTCAATAATTTAACAAATTCACATTATAGTGTTGAAGAATTAATTTAGGTTTAGTTTTTTTTTTTTTTTACTTTTTTCCTGATTTAACTTGCTTTTCATCAACTCACGTACATACAAGTGAATCATATGAATCATATACAAACCAAGCAAGTTCTTGCATGCACGTTGAATCAGTGGTTCTCAATTGGTGGGTTGAAGGTTTGATCCGATTAGTGTTAAATGCAATTAATAAAGCACAATTAATCTTAAAATTGTGTGTAGCTGAATAGCCAAATAAATCGGTTAAAAACACCTCCTATATCATTTGTTGTTCAAAAATCATGTGTCCAATCAAACTCTATGACTGTAAATTCAATACTAATACAATATCAACTCGGTGTTTGTTCTCATGTTGATTATGCATTCATAAAACTGTTATGTTATTAATGCATATTTGGCTCAAGCAGTTCATGCCAATATGAATAACCTAATGTCTGGCACTTCTGTATGATAAACGATGTGTTGAGTCGCTAAAATCTGCATTCTGAAGCAAAACCATTTGAGAACCGTTGAATACAGTAAAAGCTGTTGTTTGAAAGAAAGTGCAGGATTATGTTGCATGTTCATAATGGGCTTTTTCAATTATCATCAGTCAAAGCGGACTGAAATGCATTATTAATCTTAAACTGAAGAGTGCTGTAACCCATCACTGGCCGTTCCTGACCCTGATTTCCCATCAGCGTCTGCAGGTGCTCATGATATAATCCAATGTGTACCGAGAGACCACCGCACTGCAGCACATTCACTGCCAGCAGACGAGGAAAGGGCCAAAGCTGCACTCATTTCTGACACTCACACCGAGTGGATTTTGTGAGGCTTTTTGTCCCATTTCTGGAATAACTGGTGGTTATAAGCACTACAGGCTTTTTACAGGATTGATGTTCCCTTCAGGTCTTCAACTGACTATAAAAAGACAGCAACAAACTGTGCAAATGCCCATAATGTTAAAGAGCTTAAAATGTGTCAGTGCTGAATCTCTCAGTAAGAGAAAACTGCATCAAAAATATATTAAGTGCTGTCAAACTGATTAATCACATCAAAATAAAAGTTTGTGTACACATATTTAAGAAATATATACAGTATATATATATATATATATATATGCACACACATGTAAATATTTCTATAAATATACACCGTACACACACACATATATTATGTAAACACAAACTTTCATTTTGGATGTGATTTGTTGCAATTAATCTATTTGACAGCCCTAAATTAATTTTAGTATCTTAATGGTCCTAAAAAGGCTCAATTTTATATATAGCATTATTTTAAAATTAAAATAATAAATATAAAATAAAAAAACAATACAAAATTATAAAAAACCCCAATAAAGATTTGTTGCTAAATTCAAACATAATTTATGCTAATTTAAATGTTATCACTATATATAACTATACTGTATACTACTATATATAATATATACCACTATTATGTATATGCAAACATATGTTGCTAAATTCAAACAACATTTTTATGTTAATAATATATAGAATCAAAAATCTTAAGAGTCCTTAATGGTTCTAAAAAGGCTCCATTTATTTATTTATTAAAATATTAAAAAATTTAATATAAACATTTATTAAAAATTAAAAAAAATCTACAAATATATTAAGGTATATATTATATATTATTATATATAATGCATACCATTATATACCACTCTCTCTATAAATATACATAAAAAAACATGAATGGTTCTTAAAATGCTCCATTTTAATATATTCCATGTATTAAAAACTTTAAAATGAAAAAAAAAAAAAAAAGAAGCAAACTAAAATCATTAAAATGTATATTTTAGACATTATACATTTTATTATAAATGTAGTATTTTAATTTTTAGGAGACTCACTCTTAAACCTCTTAACAATAAACACTACAACTAAGCAAATGGTTCAAAAATAATTACTGTCAATGTGAAAGGCATTAGTGCGACTTACACCAAGATTCAGTGCTTGTGATGTGATTTAACTTCAGTTTGCTTCATATTGACTGTATCAGTGCTCATGGAGTGATGTTTCAAATACTTTCTTGAATGTATTTGCTTTTTCACTAGACACGAGTATAATATTTGACCAAACACAAGCAGATGAAAGTACCTTCATCTATAATCCGGACCATGATGATCATAAATCATGTGAGCATCCCGCTGAAGGTCCCTGCGGATGATGCCGTCCCCGAGCGCGCCTGCTGGAAAAGGGTAATTAAAAGAGTAACAGAAGACAAAGCCATGTTTGAAGAGAACAGGGAGTGATTTCCAGAGCAACCGGCCGATGGGAGGCTTTTAAAAAAATAATAAGACACTAATCCCAAAAGATCCTGCATTAAACTGAACGCAGAGCTCTGATGCAGGACTGCTTCTTCAAAACAGCAATTTTATTAGTATCTGTCTGTTGCACAAATGTCATTGCTGTAGAAGTGGGTTTCACATTTACTACACAAACTGTCCACAGCAATGGTTATTTTAGCACATCCAGATGGATTGAGCAAGTAAATCAACTTCATCAAAATAATTAATTAGTGAAGTGTGATAAGCTCCGCCTCCTTGGAGGGTTCAGGTGAGAGAAGCAGGTCAAAACAAAGTGAGGCTGGAAAATAATTATGAACAATTGATAGCTGGAATCAAGAGAGCTTACCGGAAATATCTACATACAAACTAAGAATTAATTCATGCATATAATGTGTTTCACTGAAAATCATGTAAAATAAAGCATCGCAATATGAGTCACAATCTCAAGTTTTATATGTGTACTTAATCTCAATATTTACATAAAAATAATTATATATATATATATATATATATATATATATACACTGAACAAAATTATAAACGCAACACTTTTGTTTTTGCCCCCATTTGTCATGAGCTGAACTCAAAGATCTAAGACTTTTTCTATGTACACAAAAGTCCTATTTCTCTCAAATATATACATATATATATATATATATATATATATATATATATATATATATATAATATATTTATATTTGCAGCTAAATTCTAACTAAATTTATGCTAACTTCTATTTAAATATATAACATTAAAAGATTATATAAAAACATGAAGTTTTATTGCTAAATTCAAACAATTCATTGCTCATTTAAATGTTTTATTAATAATGTATATCATTATATAACACTTTATATATATGTATACACACATATATAATGTATTGTCTCTGATTATAAAACAAATAAAAAAATAAAAAATATATAAAATAAACTTTACACCACAAAAGATTTATTCTTAATGTAAATGTGTTGACTGTCATTAAAACACAAATATTATGACATTTAAAGGTAATAAACTTAATTTAAATGTTATTAAGAAATTACAAATTTGAATAAAGAAATACTTTAAAAAATGTAATAAAAAAAATTCTTAATAAATAAAATTTTTACAGGTAGATTTTGTTGGTATAACTTCATAAATCAGGTTCGTTGTAGGTATAATTTGAGTGCATTTTAATATGTTGTCCAGTGAAATCAGTGCAAGCATCACAGTACAGGGCTGGTAAAAGCTTTTAATTCTTATTATTTATATTTAACATTCATTTCAAAACCAAATGAACACAAAATACTTAAAGTGACAATATAAAAATCAACCCTTAGTCACTTAAAACATCAAACCCTTAAGTGTGTTCTTCAAACCGTAACGCCGTCCAACTCGTCTGGACTCAGAAATACAGAAACGTGGTGAAGATGAACATCAGTACGATCATAATTCATTGCCATTTACAATCAAACAATAAACTACTGAGTGCTAAACTAAGTAAACCTGCTTCAAACCGACCGGCCTGTAACTAAAACACATTCATGTCGTAAACATTCTGCAGTCTTTTGTAAAACTAAATAACTTAAGACCTTAATAGTCCTTCATTTTTAATCAGAGAGCAAAACCAAACAACTGGTTTAATACCTTTCAGTTCATTCATACAAAATAAAGTGCTAATTAACATACTTGAACCATCCTTGTGAACTATCCACACTAAACCCCACGACACATGTGCTTATGAAGAATATGATAAAGGCTTCTGTCAGACATATTATGATGTAGTTATGATGAAGAGTACTAGACTAGGTTAGTCAGTTAGTGTGCTGGTTAAGTCTAAATGCACACCGTGTCTATGGGTTTGTTCCACTAAACTTCATGAAGTTACACATTCAAGTCGTTTGTAGTGCTTTCAGACTGAAATCCCACCAAACCACCAAAGACCCATCAAAAACCATCGGAGCTTTGGGTTTGGTGGCTCAGATGAAGGTTAACTGTGCGTTGAAGCATTAACAATCTTTCACCTACGAGAAGATAAACCAAGCAGAATGTCTACAAAAAAGCTTGATTTAATGTAGACAGCCATACATAGTAATATTGTAATTGTAGTTGCAAATTTTAATTACTAGTATAAAATTTTTCTTAAATATTTATTTTTATTTTACAGTGAGATACTACATTAGTAATGTTTATATTTGTATTTACACATGTGCTTATGAAGAATATGATAAAGGCTTCTGTCAGACATATTATGATGTAGTTATGATGAAGAGTACTAGACTAGGTTAGTCAGTTAGTGTGCTGGTTAAGTCTAAATGCACACCGTGTCTATGGGTTTGTTCCACTAAACTTCATGAAGTTACACATTCAAGTCGTTTGTAGTGCTTTCAGACTGAAATCCCACCAAACCACCAAAGACCCATCAAAAACCATCGGAGCTTTGGGTTTGGTGGCTCAGATGAAGGTTAACTGTGCGTTGAAGCATTAACAATCTTTCACCTACGAGAAGATAAACCAAGCAGAACAGTCACAACCAGTGTTTTCAACGTTCAGCATCCAATCAACAACACGACGCTCAAACGCTCCCAGAAATACTCCGAACACAGAGTCGTGTGAGCAATGACTCAGACAGGCCCGAATCAGTCAGAAACACAAGCAAGTGATATGTTCGTTCTTCTGTTTGTTTTGGTTTTAGTGCATGACGTTTCGCTCCAGATGTGAGTGACATCATTTCCCATCTAAACCACTTTCCCATTCTCTCTGGCCTGGAAAAAAAGAGAAATAGTCAAATAAATCTAAATATTTCAACACAATTAAATAGTTGTATGACATCAATATATAAATATAATTTTTTTTTAAATGAAATCAAAACTTTATTGTATATATATATATATATATATATATATATATATATTAATATCACAAAAAAGCTTGATTTAATGTAGACAGCCATACATAGTAATATTGTAATTGTAGTTGCAAATTTTAATTACTAGTATAAAATTTTTCTTAAATATTTATTTTTATTTTACAGTGAGATACTACATTAGTAATGTTTATATTTGTATTTGGTTATAATAATGATAATATTTATTATTATTATTATTGTTAACTTTTGATTAAATTATTAAATGATTATTATTTTATTTAGGTATTCAGTATTTTTTTATATTTTTATTTGGAAATAATAATAATAGTAGTAGTATTTATTATTATTAAAATTATTATTATAATTTTATATCTCTCTCTCTCTCTCTCTCTCTCTCTATATATATATTATAGAT